TGTAATCCAGGGAAAGTAATCAAAACTGCACCAAATCATTTGGCAAAACCACAATATCCTTTCCAAAGAATCCAGATTGATCATATCCAAATGCCGAAGAGTGGCCGTTATGAATACGCACTAGTTATAATAGACATGTTGCCAGGATGGCCAGAGGCCTATCCAGTCACCAATGTGACAACCAAGTCCACATGCCCAGTAGTATACAGAGATCACTTCGTGGATTCACCATTCCAGATTCAAGCCTACTTCTACTCCACGGGAAGTAACGTTTGTTGATCTTGACAACCCTTTGACTCTCCATTTTAAGAAAAAGTAACTTGTTAGAGTAAATTTCAACAAGTAGGTTTTTTGATGGCCATAATAATGCCTGACCACCTGCCATCGATGGAAAGCCGAGGACCCCAAAAGGAGACCTCGTGAAGCTGAAGTGAATCAGAAGGACTCCCTACCCTACATCCCTCACGTCCGGAAGCTAAGGTGCCTACGCACTTTCAAAGCTTTTTCAGGATCATCCTCCCATTTTTTTGAGTTTGTGGTGATAGTAATATTGAATAAATGATCTGAGTCTATCTGTAGTGAGATAGCATGGGACAGGTTTCATATGATAATGAATAAGTGAATATGCCCTAGCCAAGGGTAATATGTCCATATACACAATATATGACAATCACTAAGGTACTCTTGACACACCACTCATGCTTCAGGACAAAAGGAGTACCCCTGTAGAGAGCAGTTTTGACCCACTTATGTATATATTGATGTCATATGAGTGCCAAGGGGGGTACCAAATGGTTTCAAAGTCAAAGACGAAGGTTGTGTATTTCCCCAACCACCACTGATAATAATATTTTGATTTGCATTTATTATATCCATTACATCCAACAGCGCTTTGTTAATTATACTAGAGATGCCTTACAAGAGCTGGCTTAACTCTTACAAGACACATCCCAGATGGCCCTAGACACAATTTTGGCAAAGAAGTTAGGAGTATATAAAATACTCCCAGATACTATGACATGACATGTTGTACCTACATTCCAGATAACACAGGTTCCTATGGTAACGTAACCTTGACAATAGAGAAGCTAGTGCGTCCCTCTGAAGAATTAAAAAGAATTAAAAGGAATCCAGGAACCATTAATTCATAGGGTGGCTGGTTTGATGGATAAATGGCTAACAAAAGGTTCTGACCTAGATGGGCGTGGCTGTCTTCTTAATGTTCATTTTCCTTGCTCTCCTTGTCTGTTTTATGATTTGTTTTAGATTTGTGAATGCTTACTATAGTTTTTTAAAGTCGTAAATAGTCATTTTAAGGGGGGACTGTTGTGGACAGAATATTTGCTAAAGTAAAATGCCTATTTACTCCATTTAGTTATAATCAGTATTATTCAATAAATTACTAAAATGACCACTAGATGTCACTGAGGAGTATCCCACCCATCGACTAAACACTCTCATTTTCAAGATGGTGCTGGAATCCGGGGGAGAACTTCATGACGACGGTAATGACGTAGGATGGCACATCCAGTAGGACGTGCTCTGAATAAAACACTTAACACCTAACCAATTAATGATGTATTATTTCATGTTATCTCTGACAATGCATATGATGTAATTCTGCTTTAAAAGGGACTTGCCGTCCCCTCTGAAAGTTTTTCATCAACCAGAAACTTGTGTCCGGTGTGAAATTACTTCAGGAGCGTGCACGCACTTCTTCTTCAATTTGGCCAGGGGCAGATACACATAATAATCAATATTTATTGATTGATTTCCATTTCATATATATATATTCCTTTTTTTCTGTTTTATTTGCATAAAGTAGAAATAAATAAATAAACTTAGGTACATATATATATATTTTTTTAAACCCTCCTTTCTAAAAAAGGAAATGTTTGCACTTGCGTTGCAAATTTCCTTACAACATTGACCACCGGCAAGGGAACGGCGACGATCGGGTAAGTAATATATTTGCCGCAGATGTACTAGGTACGTCCGCAGTCCTCAAGGACCGTTTTTGTCTAACGTACCTAGTAAGGAGTTACCTATTTAATGAGATGCTTTGTGTTTTTCAGTCAGCTTTTTAGCATTTAATTTTACATTTTTTTTACGCACCTTTTTATATCACACTTGTTTTTGTTTAGTCTCAGTTAACACATGTGACAAACAGCCTATTTGTCCTATTTCCCTTTCTCCATTCGAGAATTTAATCATTTATCACTCATTTTGCTACCATCACTAGAGATGGAATGAGCACAGGCAAATAACTAGAATGTATGTAGTTCATAATGCCATTACCCTGGCTCGCAGAACTAGGACAGACTTATGATGATTTCAGGGCAGTGTTACATTATAGATCCGTGTTCTACCGTATTGTAACATCTAGGATAACATGAGGGAAATGGAACAGTTATGCTAGTTATTGTATAGCGCTGCGGAATAAGTTGTCGCTATATAAATTCCAATAATAATACCAGTGCATGTGTAATATATTCAGTTACTCTTGGTCTCAGATGGCCTTAGTTTGGAATTAGGAAATGTACCTAGCAAGCCATTTTAAGATGTTTAGCTCACACAGGGGAACGTGGGACTGAGTCAACAATGTCATATCATGCATATTGTAAGCTTAAAGTACGATGGTCATGGAGACCCATTGCATTGCAAGAACTGACTCCTCCTTGGATTATGCAAACAAGTGTGTCATGCCTGTAAATGTAGAAAAAGCTGTCTGCTCATACAATAAAGCAGTTCATTGGAGTTCACTTTTACTTTTTGCCCCACATTGTTGTAGACTGTGTCACTATCCCTGGCTCACAAAGTCATTAACTCAAGTGCTCTCTCTGGGTGGGCACCATTTTTACGACCGCACACACGTGCTTTATGGAATGGTGGCAATTTTGTTTCCCGAAAGCAGGCAGCGGTACTTAGTCATTGAACGCCTGGAATTGATTCCGGATTGTCCAACTGAAATTGTATCGCCGTCTGCTCCTCTCACAGACAAGCCAGGAGAGCACTTTTCGGGGAAAAGACTCATTCATCTGAGGGGAGCATTTGCTCCCCAAGAGCCAGGGGCAGCACTACATTGTATTTGCACAGGAACTCCCAAAAGTTGACCACTCGCTGCCTCTTACTCCCTGGAACTGTTTTGCACTACAACCTCGTGGCCAGCCAGAACTTTACCCCGATGGCGATTCCCTTACACCGAACGTATCTGAGCGCTATTTGGACAACTTGGGCACTCAGATCCAGGCTATTCGGGGATATCATACATGTGGTATTCCTGTGTCATATGAATGTTGTTTTGGGGTGTTTTGTGTATATTTTCTGTTTGATTCCCTGTAACTGAGAGATAATTGAGTTACAAGTCCTTGACTAAATTATCTCCCAGACACAGGGACATCTGGGAGGGGTTTGTATTCTTTTGCATGGAGATTCCATGCTGGGGGTCTGTGTTTAAATTATGTGTGTTGTGCTTGAATAAATTAGTCTCGACTAATGTATGGGGGGGGGGAAGCTATAGCACTCTGTTCTACTCTAATCACTGAAGACGGCGCTGACGGAGATACTGTGAGGGGAGAAGGATGACCTTGGCGGCGAGACTTGAGTCCCTTACCGAGTGTCCGCCATAAAAACTCACTTATCATTTGATATGATAATTGACATGTTATCAATACATTAAAAGAATATGAAAAGCATTAGCATAACTGTAATGTCTGACTCTGATAACAAATCAACAATATTTACCTTGAGTTTCAGAAACGTAGTGCAATAGTAAGAGAAAGATAGTGACTGCCATAGTGTTACAGATTACACCATTAAATAGACATTTTAGCTGGATTAAAACTTTGATTCCTCTTACATCTTCATTGACTGGCTTCCTTAGTGATCACTGGCATAGGGCACCCTTCTGGCCCTCTTGTCCTCACTTGTTCAAGTCACATGTCGTTGAAAGGGCTCATAAGTCTTTTTTTTCTATTTAACTTTTGTACCATAATAAGATACTAAAAAACGATATTGCACTGTTTCAGCAAAAAATATGCGCCATTCATGTTGTGAAAATATGTTTAAAAGTAATACGTATTTTGTATTAACACTAAATAGAGAATCATTGTATAATTACTTCCAATAACAATGTCTTAATATCACATGGAACATATATTAAAGAAGGAGGTATTTAAATTTATATATTTAATTTAATAAGCTGGAATACATTATATATATATATATATTGTCATTGAATATTATGCAGTGATGAACCCCAAGCCATCAAATCAATGAATATTATGTTTGACATTTCCCACTGTATATTAATGTTACGTTATTCACTGTGTACACAGATTCATACAGATTATCTTATTGGATACAATTACAAAGATATATTATCAGCCAATATTTTTCCTCCTATCACATTGTGAAGCAGCAGTTGATAATAATAATACAGTCATATTTTCAGCTACATATTTTAAGTTGATAATAGATCAGGACACATTGAAACTAACATACATGTCCATGATATTGTTACATATACTAGTTCAACTTATTTCATTCCATCTCCTGATATCAGAACACCCATATACCCATATTCATTTGATGATTTCCAAAAATGTTTCTCACATTGTTTCTTCATATTGTGATGACACGTCATGGTCTACATTTTTGTTACATTTAAGTAACTTTTTAAAAGGCACTCTCATTTTTGAGTTCCCCATGAGTAGAATGAAGGAGTTCAGTGATGGGAAGCTAGAGATCATTAGTAAGCAAAGATCATACATCCAAAACTCTCCAATACTTGTCGTATTGAATATATAACTCACCGCCAGAAAGAAAAAGATATAGAAATATAAAGAATAAAAGGGAAGTTAGTGTTTTGGCAGCAGTTAGATGAGCATGAATGCTAGTATTGCCAATGCCCACTGTATTCTTCCGTATCTTCTTCATGTGCTTGCAAAGAGAGATGATAATGTTAAGAGTTAGGAAGATAAATATGATAAAAGCTATTGAAGAGACAGACATATACACAACAACAAGGCAATGACACCGGCTTTGTAATTGGTAAAATGAGTGTGTTCCATTTACTGATAAATCGACCATTTCAGTTGGCTTCTCATATAAATCCCAGTAGGAAGGAAGACCAATAGTAAAAGATACAAAAAGGGATCCTACAAGCAGCCATCGTGTTATCGTACCAATCTTTGTCTTTAGCTGCAGGAAGAATGGATGGTTGAATTGGAGAATTTTCACAAAATAATAAAAGCAAAGACATACAGAAAATAATAAACTGGAGAAGAAGAGAGAGGATAGTATGACTATGAATGAGTTAACCATTGTGCTTTGGATGTAAAGCTGTTGGAAGAAGACATAGCAAAGTTCGTTGGCCACCATGCTTAACTGGAGAATGATGTTAGAGAAGCCAAGTGTGTCCACAATCATGATGCGTGGGGTGAAGTCTCGAGTCTTTTTCCAATCTGCAAAGCTCATTATCAAAATATAAAGGTTTCCAGGCACTCCAATAAGAGATAAGACACAGTGTAAAGTGAAGATTAAAATGTCTTTAAACATCCTGGTTCCCACTCTGTGCTTAATGTCAACCCTTGACACCTTGTCAACCACGAGGACAACAATGTTAAAATGTGTAAAAAGCTGGTTTGAGAAATCCTTGAAAAATAGTTCAGAGCATATAGTAAACAAATAGATTTTAGTAACTCGTTGCAAATGAAAATCGTCTTTGTTTTTCAGTCCATTGATATAAAGTGTAGTAATTTCCACTAAAGGACTTTCTCATTTGAATAATTCAGTGTTAACAGCTCTTGTTCTACAACAGGGTGTGTTCACATTTGTGTGAATATCCATGGAGGAATTGGTGTATATATGTTCATGTTTATATTCACCATTCTGGCTTTTTCTTTGCTTTGATTCAATTTCAAAAAGGCAGTGAATCATTGGTTAGATCCCTCAACATTGTGAACATTTGCAAATCAAGACATCAATCTTCACTGATTGCATTTGACAGATGCAAATACCCCTACCTTTTTACTGTTCTGTTTGCAAACGTTGAATCATTTCTAAACTCACACATAAAACCACTTACAGGATTTTTTAAATTATTGTAGGATAATGATATTCACCAAATCATGTTTACATCTTAAGAATCGTGTTGTAGTTTGATAGGCTTTCTTGATATCTCAAACATCCATTGCCAGCATCATGAACTAGTTATCTGTAACACTAGGGAAGATTTAGCAAAACTCTCGGTAGCGATGTTACAGGAAACGCACCTCAAAACAGTAGATATCCACAGATTGAAGGACAGACGATACCCCACCAATTACCACAGCACCCACCCTACCGACCGACGGGCAGGAGTAGCGATCCTAGTAGCAGCCAATACCCAATTCACTCTGATGGATCAACTCGCAGACCCTAACGGTAGATTCCTTTTCATCAAAGGCACAATTTCGGGAAAACTTTACACCTTCGCCTCTATCTATGCACCAAATGCAAAGCAGGAACCGTTTCTAAGCAAAACGATCCGCCAATTGGCAACGTATACAGAAGGTTCACTTGTCGTAGGGGGGGACTTCAACGCACCGCTTGACCCACTAGTTGACTCATCGACTGGACACAGCAGTATACCACAAACTGCGATCAGAGCAATAAGGAAGGCCCTGCGAGACCTGAGATTGGTAGACGCCTGGCGAACCCTACATCCGACAGTTCGAGACTATACGCACTACTCAGCCATACATAGGAGATACTCGCGTATTGACTATGTTCTCATACAACAAGAAGGACTACAACGCTTGCAGTCGGCTGACATTGTTCCGACACCATGGTCGGATCACAGCGCAGTGTCCGCACATCTGGATTCTCCTCTATTTAGGCCTACTAGGACAGCATGGAGACTGAATGAGTCGCTCTTATCGGACCCGGAAGTGAAATCCCTTCTGACAGAACATCTAACTAACTACTTTGCTGAGAACGATACAGAGGACGTGTCGAAAGTGACGCTTTGGGAAGCACACAAGAGCGTGCTCCGGGGACATCTCATAAAGATTGCATCACGCAAAAAGAGAGAAGCACAGCGGCACATGCTGGAACTCATTGACCAGATATCGAAATTGGAAACCCAACATAAGCGGTCGCAACTCGAGGAGCACTATCGCTCACTACTGGACGCTCGCCGACAGCTGGCGGATCTAGTGGCCCGCAAACACCACAGAGCGACACAGCGATCCAAGGCCTTCTTTTACATTCACGCTAATAAAAGCGGGAGACTCCTAGCCCGCATGATCCGACCCCAACAGGCCAGAGCGCAGGTCCATGCGCTACGAACAACCGATGGCTCTCTCACACAATTCCCGGAGGCAATAGCCAATGAATTCCGTAAGTATTACCAACAACTGTATAATATTTCACCAACGACATCCGATGCTCAACGCGCCGAACTGCAGGAAGCAACAACGCGCTACCTACAAAGATTTCAGCCGGACGCCCTAACACCGGAGGAAGCAGACCTACTGGAAGTCCCAATAACCACAGAAGAGGTACAAGCGGCGATTAAGGCAGCGAAGAAGGGGAAAGCACCGGGACCAGATGGACTCTCAGCGGGGTACTACAAGTTGTTCAGGGACATTCTGACTCCACACTTAACAACAGCCCTCAACCGACTCCAACAGGGCGATAAATTCCACCGAGAAACTCTAGCAGCCACAATCACGGTGATACCCAAACCAGGCAAGAACCCCGAAAACTGCAGTAGCTACCGACCGATCTCTCTCCTTAACGCGGATGTGAAACTCTTCACCAAGGTCATCGCTACAAGGTTGCAGGCGTACGTGCCGCGCCTAATACATCCTGATCAAACAGGTTTTGTACCAGGCAGGGAAGCCAGAGACTGCACACTCAGAGCGTTCTCAATACAGGCATTGGCGCTTAAAGAGAAGACGGAACTACTAATGCTCTCAACGGACGCTGAAAAGGCATTTGACCTGGAGCTTTATGATGGCAACACTGCATAAGGTCGGCCTGGGGAGGGGAATGATAGCTTGGATAGCTGCACTTTACGCTGACCCTAGTGCCAGAGTGAGGGTGAATGGTGCGCTCACAGACACCTTTCCCATCCACAACGGAACCCGACAGGGCTGCCCATTGTCGCCGCTTTTATTTGCCCTCTCATTGGAACCATTTTTGGACAGGATACGGCAAACCCCAGAGATTCGAGGGTTTAAACACGGAGACCAGGAGCACAAGGTAGCCGCATATGCAGATGATATGCTTTTCTTCGTGGACAACCCGGTCGACTCCATGCCGATCTTGATGCAGGAATTCGACATATATGGCCAGGAATCAGGTCTGAAGCTTAATCAAACTAAATGCGAACTGCTGAACATAAAGACCCCAACGGCAGTGCGAGAGCGGATCGCACGCGAGTATCCCTTTCACTGGTGCTCAGAACAGATGCGATACCTGGGAATCTGGATACCCAACAATCCGAAAGAGCTATATACCAGGAACTACGTACCCCTCCTACGAACAATCCTGCTCGACCTAAAAAACTGGAATTATGACCATATATCCTGGCAAGGACGCATAGCGGTGACTAAAATGAATATCCTACCATGGCTGCTTTACTACTTTAACACCATTCCCTGGCACATACCATCAGAATTTTTCGCAACTCTTAAATCGGCAGTAATAAAATATGTCTGGAAAGGAGAGAGAGCAAGACTCAGCTACGACAAGCTATGCCTACCAAAGAACTGGGGCGGACTAGCGTTACCCGATATACGCAAATACTTCCAGGCCGCGGTCTTACAACGGATTAGGGACTGGCACGTAGCGTCTGAAAACAAATTGTCGGCCGCACTGGATAGAGAAAGCCCTTCACATGTATACATGGCACAGCTCGGCAGATGCAGCAACAAAACTAGGCAATTCATCACCCATTGTACAAACGCTGAAGACATGGTCATCCTTGAGGCGGAACCAACATCTCTCTCCACAACCAAGCCCATTGATTCCGATAACACACAATACTGCAATAGGCGGGGGGGCTACACCGATCTGCTTGGCCGATTGAGGGAGAAGGAGAGTATATCCCTATGTCAGAGGTCCTGAGCAATACCGGACTGCGAAACCTGCGAGAATGGAACACGATGACACAACAGACGCTGATGCACAGATTTCGGTACACACAATTACGGCATTTCTACTTCAACCTCCCCAACAGGGCAGCGATTCACAGAGAACAGACTTGGTTCGAAAACATCTGCGTGGCCAACACTGGTGCGGACGGTAGGGTATCGCTCATCTACCAACAATTGATAACAGGAGACCTCACACGGAAAAATGCGTTTAAGAGGCAATGGGAAGAGCTGACAGCTAGGACGTACACTGAGGCACAATGGGAACAGATATTAATCCTGCAACACAAGAGCTCCATAAGCACCAGATATCAAGAGGTTAACTTTAAACTAATCTCTCACTGGTATAGGACCCCATCTTTATTACACAGAATTTTCAGAGGAACCTCAGATACATGTTGGAGGTGTGAGTCCCAAACAGGCTCTTTACGGCACATCTGGTGGGATTGCACGCTAATCAAGCCATATTGGGAGGACATAAAAAGGGAAATGAGGATAATTCTAGGAGATCTGCCGGACTTTAGCATAGAAATGGCCCTACTGCATTACACAGAAGGCTCGATAGCCCAATACAAGAGATCGATATTACGGCACCTGCTTAACGCAGCGAAAGCAGCTATACCTGTCAAATGGAAACAGACCCAACCACCGACCGTCACGGAGTGGCTACAGAGAGTTGAGGAAATACACACTGCCGAGGCGCGGTACGCAGAACTAATAGGAAGAAGCACCAAACACGTCGATATCTGGACCCCATGGTATCTATACCTCTCACGTCCCGGAACTAGGGAGGCACAGCACACACCATAACACCGGGGGTCTGAGAGGACCCGGCGCACCCCGACACGTGCTATCCATCATGTCTCCCCCCCCCCCACCCCTACTCCTGACCCCCCTCCCACCCCCCTGCCCCCCCATCCTTTTCCCCTCTGCATCTAATCAACTTCACGTAACTTCTTTTCCTTTTCTGAGGGCTTGGGTGGATGCGGCTTGCCCTGCCCCCGAGGAGGCCAGAGTCGGGAAGGCCCCGAACGAGTCGCTAAACGATATATAGCCACGACACGAAGCAGCTC